CCCAGCTCCCCCTCCCGTCCTTCTTGGTGTCCCTTAACCCCCACCTCTCCATCCTGGTCCCCTAGATCCCCCTCTTTCTCCTTCCTGCCTCCCCCCCAACTCCGGGGGCTGCCATGCTTTTGGCTCAGATGCTAGAGCCGTGGGTGGAGTGCAGCAGTTCAATCCCCAAAGAGACATAAAATGCTGAGAAGCTGGTTTTGTTCCCGCAGTCTAATGCCAAACAGACAGATTTGGCTCGCTGGTGTTGGGATCTGCTCCTCAGGCTGCCTCCCTGCACTGCCAGGCTGCTGGGGAAACTCCACCAAAAGCATTTTATAAATCCATACATATGCACACACTTACGCAGCTGCTTGCTTGCGTGAAACTGTGTCCAAGGGTGTGACTAGAGCCTGTTTGTGTGCATTTAATTTGATTTTTTCTCCATATAAAGATCAGTGCAAACTGCGTGTTAACCAGCCAGAATCATAACAAGAGCATAACGGAGCTAATTGGCTCCTTTTTTCAGCCAGACACTCTGTGTTTAATTATTCTGAGACGACCGTGTTTCCTCTTGTTTGTGTGGCGTAATGTCAGGACGTGCTGCTGCTCGGCCAGTTCATCCGCTCGGACGGGGGGATGCTGCCGCGCCGGGTTACGGGTCTCTGTACCGAGGAACATAACAAGATCGCCATCTGCGTGAAGATGGCGCACAGAGCAGGTCAGAATCGGGACCAGAATCCTTTCATTCACCAGGTCAAAATGCACTAGGAATTTGTTTTGCCGCAGGTGGTGGCCTGAGTGTATAATTTAGACATACAGTCAAGAGCAATAAGTAGAATGTCTGTCTTTTGCTTCAGGCCTCCTTCCGGATCACAGACCAGTATTGCCAGAAGGCCATGTGCCAAAACCCAAACCCCAGCTGAACAGGTGAGTCTTGCTGTGACGCTGTAACTCCCATAAGGTAAACCCTGCCCTGTCTGTTACCCCAGATACCTTGGCCAACAGCTGTTAGTGAAGCTTTAATCTCATGACTAATCAGGATCAGAAAGATTTTTATTGGCCAAGTCTGCTGTACATACAATTAATTTCTTGGTGGGTGAGCTCTGGGGCAACATAAGCAGGACAATTTCAAGACCGTTTACAAGTATGTACACATGAAAATCTGTGCATTTTTAACACAGAACTGTCTGCCTAGAGTAAGAAGCAGCATGGGTGAAATAAGCAGTGACAGCAGTGATGTTCCAAGCCGACATTAAAGATCTGGGCCGATCCAGGCATTTTTCAGTTAATCGGTATCAGCTACCACAGCCCGATCCAAAGCCTGATCTATTTAATTTCCTGCATCTGCCTAATTTACGCGAGTTGTGCAGATTGTAAGGCTCTGTCAGAAGCTGCAGTAAGTCTGAGGCGTGTGTCTTGAAACTACAAACTTTGGAGATGTCGGCCGTGTGGAAATTCTTTTAAACTGGAAACTCAAAGTAGCCCAGCTGCTACCTGCAATGTTTACAAAGCCATCCTTATGAGAGGAGGCTGCAACGGGGTGTTATTTAATACAACAAATCTAATGAGGCACTTCCAGGAACATCATAGGGTTGAATACGGTGAAATCATGTGGCTTAGAGGAGGAATCCACCAACACATACTGTGTGTGTGTGTGTGTGTGTGTGTGTGTGTGTGTGGAAATATTTATTAAAAGATCAGATCATGACTTGTAATCGGCAGATATAAATAGTAAATGAATCTGATTGTACCAAGAAAGTGGATTGGGACATCCCTAATAAACAGTAAATGTAAATAAATAGGGGTGATGCTAGGAAAGCTTGTAGGGCCCCATCTGGTTAAATGCCTAATGTAGTCCCAGTGACCTGCAACTGTTGTTCACTAACCTTCCGTCGGCTGCAGGTACCTGACCCGCTGGTCTGTACGCTCTGTGAAGCCCATCCTCAGGAAAGGACTGAAGTGGTGCAAAGTCCGCATGCCGGTGGGCGACCCCTGCCTCAAGAATAACGTCCACTACAGCCTCAAGCCTGTCTACATGAAGCACTGAGCGGCCCTGCTAGGAAAGGCCACATGCACATTCGTCTGTAAATAAAATGAGTCTGACCAGGGGTCCTGTTTCTGTGTGCTGTTGCGTTCACAGCCAAGAAATCAACGAGCCAAAGTCGCTTTTCCCTCTATACTTTATTAAAAATGGCATTCGGTGAAGCTTGGTTCACGTCTGATGCCTCCTGGGATCTCACAGCATGAAGGGCAGGTCAATGTTCTTGAGACCATCACCCATGTAGATGTATCCGTGTTGTGGAGTCGTGGGCACGTGGAAGAAGGTCAAGCCCAGCCAAAACAGACTGCGCAGCACCACAACACTGCTGCCTTTCTCAAGTTGCAAGCTCCAGGACCCTGTTAGGAACAGGCCCCCAAGCGGGATGTTAGACTAGGTCTTGCGTAATAGGAGTTCAACACTCCAATACTTAGGAATGGGGTTGACTTTGGAGGCTAGTTAGAATGCCTGTATCCTAAGTGTGCTTAGGCATCATGTGGCTACGTAGGGAGCGTAGCACCGTTGGAACGAGCACTCTCACTGCACGCTGTGGGAGTTTTCTGCGGGCGCTGGGTGGCTCGTAGATTTAATGCTGTAAGAAATTTGAATCACCCCCCGCCCCTTGTGGAAAGTTCAACTATATAACAGGCCAATGCTCTGACTGAGCTTGGAGCCAAATCTGAACGTTGGCCTCTCAACCCAGAGAAGTGGAAGACTAATGAGCCTTTACTGGAAAAGAGGAGGGAGCTTTAAATAAACATGCTCCATGTACTTTTTTCCCCTAAGAATCCAATTTTTTTTTTTTTTTTTGATGGATTTCTACCACAATGCGCGTGTGCACATGTTCTCACACACCAACAGTTTGTGAAATCTATTACACAATATATGAAACCCAGTGGGTTTTCTATAAAGCACAAGCGCTAAAGGCTGCCAAGTCTCATGTGCTCGACTTCTGTCTGGGGGAGTTTTTTACAGCAGCAGGTGGACCTGTGGTTAAGACTAGACGTTGCTGAACGGCCATGTGTTCTGGTCCCTAGAAGGCTTATATTATTCATATATTACTGGACATGGAACCCATTAGTGAAATTTCCATTTCAGTTAAACTGCCCAGCACATACACACAGTGGGTAACAATACGTTCTAACACCTCGGGTTGTAGGTTTGATTCCTGCCGTGGTTCTGTGCACGTAGCCGCTACTCCTACTACTTTCAGATTGTCTTTAACTGGACTAAAATTCCACTTAAAGTCAGTACAGCTGGCCAGCAGGTGAGCCCCGAAGTAAACTTTGCATTTAAGTGTTATAAGAGCTCCATCAGTCAAAACAATGACCACGTGCTGAAGCCTTAGATGCTGATATCATCAACACATGGCAAGGTCATGGAGGTACACCATGGTTACAGGCCCTTCACACTATTACCATATAAAGCCAGACACCAAAAACCTTGTGAGGTCAGGGTCAGATCGTCCCAGGAGAAATTAAGAGTTAAGGGGCTTGCTCAGGACCCCAGAGATGGAATCACTCTGCTGGCCCTGGGGTTTGAACCGGTGACAAATTCGGTGGAAATGCTACCACAATGGATTGTGGGGTTTCCTCTGGGTACTTTGGTTTCCCCCCGCAGTCACAAAATTCCCTAAGGCTAATTGGAGTTGCCAAATTGCTCATAGTTGTGCATGAGCCGCGCAATAGGTTGGTGCCCCATCCTGGGTTGTCTCCTGCCTGCAGGCTCCAGACCCCCATGACCATGAGTAGGACAGGCAGTTACAGAAAATAGATGGATAAAGCCAGTTAACCTAACTGTACTGGGGTACTTCAACTCTGGGTCGACTGCTGTTTTGAAATGCATCAGTCGCTAACTGCTTCATCTGTGCAGCACTACGTCACATCACTCCTCATATCAGATGAGGTCAGACAGAAGAATACAGGAAAACACAGAACTGACAAACATTGTGCTGGATGTCTGGAACTGCTAAAATGTCTCAGTGTGTAACAGTCTGGATGGTGCCCCCTTAAAAGCCTCCCTGCCTGTGGTAAATCCCTAAGCATACATTTGAAATGAGTTTAATTGTGCCTTGAGCCGTATGTGCAATGCACTGATTTTCATTACAGTTCTCAGATACTGCGGGGTTTCACTTCCTGTCATTTTGAACCATTAAAATTGATTTATTGCTGAATTTACTCAAACGTGCAGAAAAGTATAGGTTGTTCTATTTACCTTTTGGTATGTCTTCAGTTAAGGAGTCCAGATAATCGAGAGAGGGGTCCAGACGGGTCATATCTAGAAGGCGGGTCTTCTTCACGGCCTGCGGCTCAGTGAAGTGATAGTAATTGCTTAGCTTTATAGCCTCCGACCAAGACAGACCTGCCCCAGGAGTGCAAAGGCATGGTGGAGTTAGACCCTGAGAGCCGCAGACCTCCGAGTGTGGGTCTGCGTGCAAGGCTCACCTTCAAAGCTGCGATTGGTCTGAACGGCCCCGTCGGGAGTCCTCGTGAAGGCCCCCCGTGGAACCACAGAGGCCTCCCGGTCGATGGTGAGTACCACGGCCGCCACCCTCTGCTCTTCATTCACCTTTACCTGCAACGACCGGCATGACAATCAGAATCAGGTTAACTGGCCACGTGTGCTCACACACGCAGGAAATTCGTATCCAGGTGTCGATGACTCTCAGGCATACAGGAGATACATACAGTTAGCACAAGACAGTGGTCATATACAGCCCGGTTAATATATTCAACATTCATGTATGGTTTGTAAGTGTATAAAAAACTGCAAGACTGTTGTGCAAGGAATGTTAGAATAAATACATAATGTACAATACATTATAATAAGTACAGAGAGTAATTTACTCCAGTGAGGTACTGTAGGATAATAGGGGGCAGGGGGTAAGAGTTAAATCAGACCATAATCTGCATTCACATAAATGCCTTAAAAACCACAGAAAGAAACGGTGCCGTACCTTTGAATCCGCAGTGATTTCCATCTCTCCCTGCTGGCGCGTCTCCATGTGCTCGTACTCAAACGAGGGGTCACCTGTGAAGCGCCCGTTCAGCGTCGACGCGTACGCCAGCAGGGGCGCTGTGACCGGGGGTAGCAAGTGCCACTCTGTGCAGTTAAGGCTGGCAGGGGAAGAACACGGGAGAAGCTGCCTTAGCGGAGCCACAAGGATACAGCCCGTGTCTCTTGAAATGTAGCGCTGCAGCCGCACGGTAAATTCTTTGGTGTCGTTGTTCTTACCTGTAGAGTATTTTCTTGGCTTTCATTTCATCTGCTGCCACCCCCTGTGCTATAAAATAATCATTCTTCAGCCCTAAAATTTTCCCCCAAAAGAGAACACGGCTGAACTTATAGTTTACTTTTATGACCAGCAAGGATGTCTGCAAGGCAGCCCTCTGTTCACAGGTCAAAGTCAAGCCGCCACCCGCCGTAAGGTCCAGGGCATAGTTTAAGCAGGCGGAATCCATTTTCTTTCAGGCGTCACATATAAAACGGGTTTGTAGACATCACCTGCAACGGGGACGCGGCTGTCCCTATCTTACCGTAACGTCCGCGTCGCTAGGTGAGCGGTTACTAAGGTAAACATACACCACGGTGATGTGTTGCCATGGCTGCCGCAGTACGGAAGCCTGGTGGCCGGATCGCCTGTACCTCTGCCAGCTGCGCCTTCTCACCGAGATGGCGTTTGTATTAATGGCACTTGATTGCTTGGCTTGTGGCTGGCAGGGTTGTTTTTATTTTGCCGTCTCACAGCAGTAGGGCGTAGTGTGAAACCATGGCCGATAATTATAAAGGAGTTCTGCGACACTGAGTCAGATAAAAGGCGGGGGGAATTATTTAAGGATGGGCTTCTCAAATTTGTTTGGGAGCTGGTTAGTGTTTTGCTTGACACCGTGACACGTTTTCCAATCCACAGAGTGAATGAATCTGGAATTAATCATATATCTTTCCTTATTTCCCAACAAGTCCACTGGCGCGTCGCTTTGTAGAGATTGGGGACTTTTAATGGTGTGAAAGCTAAAGTGTCTTGGGAGTTCAGGGATACAGTACTCCTTGCAAGAGTAATCAGGGGGTTACTAAACCGATGCGTAAACTCAGACTACACTAGGTAAACCGATCGGACCATGAAAGCGTGTTTGCATATTATATTGATATGTGCCTTCATCATTTACCATCGTTTTCTTTTTTACGTAGATTAGGTGCATTTAACATACATTTCAGGGTTACCAACTTTGGTCAGCTGGCTGGGGTGAAATTTTCTGTTCTAGTCTCAAATGCATGCATTCGCTCATACACACAACATGCACACGCACGTACATGTATGTAACCTTATAAATAGTCCTGCGGGGTTTGTAAACTGCCCCAACCCTTTTGATATGGCTAATTTTAGGGTTATAATGGAATATTATATATTTGGCGTGAGATTAAGGCTGAAATCGTGAGTGTCACGCCAGATGCGTGAGAGTTGGTAAATCTGAAATCCAGGGTGTCCAGGCCAGTCTAGACTGGGACCCGAAAAAGGTAGTCTTTTTTTAACCACAACCGGGTAAGTTTACCCTGGTACTGCAGGTCCCGCCATTGCGCAGCATTAACTGAGCGCGTACTAACTTAAAGTGGAAATGCGCAAACGGTAATTTGTACATATTTCGCGCCAAAGCTGCGCTGTGGTTGCGTCACCCTCTCGAAAGGAAGCGCGTGTCCTCAGTCACCCCGAAACGCCTCGGATTGAACCCAGTGCTGAGCGGGAGTGGCTGCAAACCACTTAAGTCAATCCTCCGCTCGAAAGCAGAAACTCTTCGGTCACGTCTAATTAAATTGCTATTACGTATAATTATTTATGAAAACTGACTATGGCTCGTTCCTGCTATGCAAAGATTTTCCTTATTCTCATTAAATAAGATGTTATACTTTATTGTTCCCAGGGGGCTGTTATTTAGTATGTCTGAATATATTGGCAAAATATTATCTTTTGCTGTTTAAAACATGGACATTATATTGCTATATTAATTCTATTTATTTGTGATTTCAGGAGAAAGGAAAACTTACCAATATAATAACATGGATCTGAACTGAATATGGACCGAATCTGTCACAAACACTCTTAAATTCTGCAGTGATATATTTATGTATATTTTCAATTATTCGCAACCAAAGAAATTGTAACGTATGCATTTTGTTCGAGAGTCTGAACTGGCCTGCTTTTTGTGTAATCGCTATAAATTTTGGCTGGAAGACTAAAAAACGCAGTGATAGATGGCTGGACAAGGATCAAAACTTGTGGTTCTTTTCTCAGTATTTGACAATTTACTATAAGCAGGACTGCACTAGGAGGGGGGATGGGAGTTGTTGGTCAAAGGCCAGCCCAGCTCTAAGTGTTGATTACATTTATTAGCATTATTTAAAAAAAAAAAAAAAGATCACCAGTTCCCCCTACTGGCGACAAGTGGAAACAGTATTATCCGGCAAAAACCCAAACTTTTCCACACAAATTCCATAACTTACCCAGCGTACACATGCCTCACGCACACATCCAGTCAGGAGATCTGGAATACAGATTAACTGCATGCCAAAAATTCAGCCCCGACACACCGCACACAAACTACTGAAAAAAAAGTGTGGCCTTGCCTACAACATGCCCCCCTACCAGGCCTACCCACCAAACACAGAACCTCACATGTCCCATAAAAAACCTTGAAATACTAAAACATTTCTTAAAAATAGAACATAAATTGGGTAACTTAATGAGACACCATTGGTTAGTATTGTATCTGTGTTAGCACTGGTTCTGTGTTAGCTTATTCTCCAGGTCATCTTGGCATAGCTGCCTTGTTAATTAGCTGGGTAATATCTCTTTTTTATTAACATTGGCCTGATCTACTCGCTTCTGGACGGCTTCCTGCTCCCACGCCTCCCTGATTTGGCCATCACACTTGGACCTAGCTGCCCCTTTAAGTAGGCTGCCCGTTTCCGTTCCCTCACGACGTGGCTGTTAGACCACAAAGCCTGACCCCTTCGGGGATTCACCTGAAATACACACTCAGATACGGCCACTTTCCCAGACATGTCAAGGGGGCATGTTTCCACACACACACTCTCACATGATCTCTACAAAAGGAAGTTACTGGCTCTCTTCCATACACTCTCACAGACACATACAGATTGAAGGTTTACCACATTGTGAGGACATTTGGACCCCATAAAGTGGTAAATACAAACCCACATGTGCTCCTACACACATACAGATATTCAGCTGCTTCCTGTAAAGAGGGCTGCTCTTTGTGTTTGTTTCAGCTTGTATGTTTTCACTTGCCGTCACCCCACAAACCTTGGCCATAGTGGTCACTGGTACCACGTCAGCTAAAAGCCTACTCACTGGCTCACACTGATCTGCACTGAAGCAGAAGAGGGGTGAGCTTAGAGAACCACACTCCTTTGGGGGAGACATCGGGAGTCCCACGTTCCTTTGGGGGAGACATCGGGAGACCCATAATCCTTTGGGGGAAACGTTGGGAGTCCCACATTCCTTTGGGGGGAACGTCGGGAGACCCACATTCCTTTGTGGGGAAACGTCAGGAGAACCACACTCCTTTGGGGAAGATACGGAAGATCCACAATTCCTTTGGGGGAGATGCCGAGGGACCCATGCTATTTGAGGGAGGTGCTGGGATACCCGTGCTCCTTCACGGGAGGGATTTGGAGACCCATGATGCTTTCGGGGAGGTGATGAGAGACTTGCACTCCTTCGTGGGAGACACTCCTTTTTTTGCACAACCTAAAAGAATGAAGAAGTCACCCCCCGATCCGATCAGCCCACAAACACAAATGGCATGCAATTTCAGAAAATCAATATGCTGAGAAAGTTAAACCCTGCTTGTGACTGGTAACCATGGCTACTCATACTGCCAGCTTCCCAACTATGAGCAAAAATGAATGAAAGGCAACTGTTCAGTGCTGCATACACCCTGCCTGTGTTCTCCTTGGCTGCCTTAGTTCTCATTCGCACTCATGAAAGCAGGATTATGGGCCATTCCATCAGTGGCACTGAGGTTATGGATTACATTCAGCTCTAAAGAACTAGTATAAAATCTTATCAAGATTAGGCTTTATGGCTTGAAGATGACTGCAGCGAATTGCAAATGTATCCCAGCTGTTACTTGGCATCCTATGCAGATTATTTGCGATTTGCGTGAGGTTAACTCCAGTGCATCGTCCAGTGCTGCGTTGATCTATCTGCATGTCTGCCTGACTGCTCAGACTGAGATGAGATTAACTGACCTGGGAACAGCCCTGAGTCGAGCCCTCAGCCGGCAGATGTGATCAGGCTTTTTCTTGGGCTCAGATGACCACGTTCTTATCAGAGACTCTCAGTATGTTACTCTGCTGCACCCAGCTCACAAATGACATGTTTATGCACGGAAAGAGGAAGACAGAGGACAATGCGGAGTTCAACATCATTGTAGGAAATGCCACTGTATCAGGAATTAAAATGTGATACAGGACGCGGCTACAGCACATCAACAGAGAGCACACAATACAGATTAAATAAAGAATATACTGCACAGGAGACGTGTTTTATAGGGAAAATAGATATCAACAGAAAGTATGCACTGCGGAAAAAAAAAACTGATGAGAATCGATCAAGTGTGCAAGAAAATGGAATGTTGAATATGGAGTGAAGTGCAGAGTATTAGCTCTGTAAATGTAAATGTATAGTTAAAAAGCAGAAATAAAATAGAACAAAATGTGGAGCATGATACTGGTCACAGAGAAGATTTACAGCATTTGGGAAGGAGCTGCTTTTAAATCATGAGTCGTCTGCATCAGGAAGCAGCTGTAATATGTCAACCGCAGGTTGAGGTGAGTCTGCGGTCATCCTATTGGTCTGTATGGTGGTATATTAGATGTATGGGGATTCACCTGAGGGGAGAGGAGTCCCAGTTAAACTAGCGGCCTTTTATACCACTACCATACAGTGATAGCCCTTGCATTCTGTAAGGGCTGTGCAGAATCAGACAAGGAGGCGTTGACTGACTGCAAACTTGCTCAGTTGTCTGAGAAAATATTGTCACCGATTAGATGACTAGACGGTCGGTGTTAATGTGCGACTTTAGGAAGGTGCAGCATTGTGCTTCATCGTTATCAGAGATGATCCCAGTGATGGTGTTGCCACCTGCAGATTGGGGGACTTTTAACGGTGGTGAGCTGCAACGTAAAGCCAGCAGGCAGAAGGTGACAAAACACATACCTCTTCTCTAATCAAGAAACCCAGAGGTAGCTACAGTGCAGAACTGGAGTGCCCCCTGCAGGCAGTAACAGTTATTGCTTCTGTATGGTTTTAGGCCTTCGTCAGGTGACCTGCATAAGAAAGGGCAGCCAGGCCATGTGGGGGCACCGTGAAGCGCTCAGTGCTGTGGTCACCGTAGGCAGTCTGGCACAGATCAGCAGGGTTTCAGTGTGGTCACAGTACAGGGGTGTCTCCTTGAGTATGTGAAGGATAACAGAAACAAAGACATACTCGCTCCAAACCCACCCTTCCTGTGAGGTTAGGGGCAGTGTTATTTAAGGAAATCTGCAGGGCGTACATCTGTCAATAAATCCCAGCAAGACATTAAACACAACAGCTTTCATTGTTTCCTGCGCAATGGATCACCTCCAAATAGCTGAACCCAGACAGACAGGGGACATGCTGTCTAGTTAAGGATACAGACTGTAGTGCCCCCTACTGGAAATTTTGGTATAACTGAAAATTTCAACTAAAAAGAAGTACATCACAAGAACTGAGGTGTTTACTGGCAACTTCAGGTTAAGATAAACCAAAAACTGGTGGATAGATCAAGACCTTACACAGAACCTAAACACAGACCAAATTAAAGGTAGTTTGTATTTTAAGAGGCCATCACTAAACTAAAACCTGACGAATTCAAATGGCATTTTAACATAAAATGAAGTTTTGTCTTTCTGAAGCAGTTCTGTGTCATTGACCACCTCAGAAAAAATAGAAGAGAAACGTCTGCACGTTAGAATAAGTTTCTGATGGGATGAATCAAACTCATGCTTGAGCGAAAAATAATATCCTCCAGCTAAAACGCTTTAAACCTCTGTAAAATTACTGAATTAACAAGCTGTCAGCGCAGTGGTCTGGTTAACCACAAATTCAACTATATGGCCTGAGAACAAAACAAGAACAATGAGCAAATTGTTCTGAATCAGTCCCACTGAACATCAGTCCCCCCCCCCCCCCCCCGCCGGGGGCTGTGTGCTCAACCCTCTGCCTTCCACTGTCGACCTACGACTGCTTTGCCGTCCGCAGATCTAACCACTTCCATGACATTGCGGTCGTCGCTCCGTTCAGCAAAAATGAGGAATCTTCTTGCAGAGATGAGGTGGAGCAGGTGGCCCTGGACGTGGATAAAGCTCAGGAGATGATTGTAGATTTCATGAAAGTCCACCCCAAACACCCCCCACTGCACATCAATGCCTCCACTGTGGAGGTCGTCAAGGGCACCAGGCTCCTTGGAATGCGCACTGCTGGTGACCTCACACGGACCCTCGATACCACCTCCCTGGCAAAGAAAACACAATGTGGAAGCTGCAAAGCCTGAGAATGCAGTGCCCTACAGAGCAGGACAGCTGAGAACATCGCTGGCACCTCTCTACCATCCATCCAAAAAATCTTCAATATACAGTGCCTCTGCAAGGCCACAAGGATACTCAAAGACACCCCCCCCCCATCTGGAAGGAGACTCTGGAGCATTCAGACCAGCTCCACTTCTATCTCAGCACCCATATCTGGAATTCTACTGAAAAACTTAATTCACAATTGCTTACCATCCGCACCAGTCACCTTATGCATCAGTTTCGCATAATAAATGGAAGAACTGCATCACGCTGTACCTTATACACTTTTAAGCAAAAAACACTGTTCTTCCACTGCAAGCTGCTTGTAATCAAACACACTGTAAAGCCCAAGTGGAGAGTTGCATATTTATCAGGGTGCATCAAAAAAATGAAAAGTTTCATAACTGAGCTGTCTGGCCTATAGTTTTGTTACATTACTGTATATATTACCTGTGTAAAAAATGTCTTTATTGAAGCTTGAGGGGCAGTGTATGGCAGTGTGTGGCCCAGTGGGCCTGAAAGGTCACCGGTTCAAACCCAGCCTCAGCACGTCTGCAGGTCCTTGAGCGAGGCCCTTAACCCCCAGCTCCCTGGGCGCCCAAACAGGTGGCTGCCCTTCGCGGACAGCTTACTCTACAGAGAGCAAGTTGAGGGAGGCGTAAAGACAATTTCCCCACAGGGATCAATAAAAGTATCAATTAATTATTATTATTATTATTTAGAGGTCTCTCAGCTTGGCTAAAGAATTCTCACTGTACAAAAATGGAGCAAGATTTATCATAAAATCTTTCTTAATAATGTTTGAAAAGACATTATAAAACAAGGAGAGGATTAGTAAAGGATGTTTTTGGCCAGTATTTATAAATTAAAACAAATTTTAATTATGGGTCAAGACTCAGTGTGATTGATTATAGATTAAATGATTAGCCAACAAAGCCAGCTGAAAGAGTAGATTGTTTCTTCAATTGTTGTATAACAGTTTTTCTAGTCATTGCTTAATGTAGCAGCAAATGAACAAAAGTTCTTACTTCAAAATGTGTGTTTGCAATATGTACTAGAAGGTTTTAATAAGCTGTGGAATATACTAAATTTACTTTGGTTTTTCTGTTTATGTATAGCCACAAACAGTGGACATCCAGACAGCTCAAAATGAAACACTTCACTTTTGATTCTATGATTCTGATGCACCCTACTATTAGTAAAAGCTGTAAAGCTGTTTTTAAAGCCTCAGACGAAATGCTATTTTGTCTCACCTTATGCCTGAATATTTTGAAATGACAAAGTTTGACTTGAAAAAGGAGACACACAAACTATTCAGATAATTATTATTTATTATAATTTCTAAACAAACTGATTAGAAAAGACAATGAAGTACAAAATTCTTATTTTTATACCACCAAATCATTAAATTATTAAAATAACACTTCTTTAATTTAAATATAAATGTTTGATTACCTCTCAACACTGAATATCCCCCTGGGCTTAGGCTGGCTAAACCAGCTTCCATTCAAATGCAGAAATGAGCTTTTAGATACAAATGCAAAAAAACAAAACTCCACTTGAATTTTGTATGCTTACGCTCAGGTCTGAAGCTGGAAAGTGAAAAAAATGTCCCATCCTTAGGATGGTGTGTGAACCCAAAGCACTACTGACCTCTGGGGGAGGGGGGTTGGGGGGTAAAGGGCCCCCAGTACAAAGACCTGGTCCAGGCCTCCCCTGATCAGCTTCAAGGCAGGAGGCTGGCTCTTCCTGAGCATCCAGAAGTCCATCCTCCGCTGCTGCCTCGCTTAGGTGGGCGACACTCCCTGAAGGTCCGTGCCATGTGCAGAGCTCTCCAGAGCCCCGTACGACCTCTGGACTGGGTCCCCTGGGAGGGGCTCAGAGGGTAGGGTGTCCTGAAGCACTTTGGGAAGGTAGACCTGTGAATGTAGGAGCATCACTGAGAATGTGCCAGTGAGGCGGGGGTCAGACCATGTGACCGTGTGAAGCAGGGCCGTCCTAGATAAGCTCCTTTTGGCTGCCCTAACCGACCCCCCAGCAGTAACCGAGCACCGCCATACTGACCGAATCTGTCGGGACGGCTGGGGCTTCGTCTCCAGGATCATCACCAGCTTCCTTTATCTGCCAAAACCCAAAAGTATGAGCAATGTGGTTTTAGGTTAGACTGGATTAGACTCGATTCAGCTTCATCATCGCTATCATACAAGTAGCATTTGAACAACACGGCAGACGTACACTAGGGGGCAATTCAGAGGGGAGATTCTCACCTTGTAGCTGTGTGGGCTCAGGTACTTGAAGTGTCCAAAGCAGGTATATGCAATGCATATGAAGATGGTGACAATGAGGATGGCGAAGGTGAAGAGTGACGTGGTGGCCATGAAACCTGTGCAGAGACAGAGCGCGGGTCAGCGCATGAGGTGGCGACCAGTGGGAATGGCGGGTAAGAGTGGCGGCGGCGGGCGGATGGGAGTGGCG